TAGATAGATAGATAGATAGATAGATAGATAGATAGATAGATAGATAATATATTTGTGTGTGTCTGTACCCATATACATGCAGTACTTGTTTTGCATTATTAGTGTTAATGTATATCTTAGATCCTTTTCTTATTTCTTTTTACACGTGGTTGGGTTTAACTGGGACCCCGTGTACATAATTTCATTCCACCTCACATACCACATATGATGAAATGACAATAAATCTAGTTGAACTTGATATATACATACAGCCAGCCTATAATACAATATAAAATACAATACTCCATTATAACAATGTGAAAAAATATTTGAGATTTTTGCAAATTTATTAAAAATGGAAAACTATTGAGCTTCACTCATTAAGTTAAAGGTCCACACAGACATGCTGCTGAAGCTTATTTATGATGCGTTCACTGACCAGTCAAACACAGTCAAACAGAAAATCAGCCAGTGCCAATCATAAGACCAGCTTATTAAAACATGCTAAGAAACAAATCTGTAAGTTTTAAGCAAGCTTGAGGAATAGAGCAAAAAAATTCACAAACTTGAGTAATGCTAATAAATGCAAAAATAAAGTTAGAGAGCACAGCGTTTGTGTTTTTACCAGTGGTGGAACTCACTAGAGAAGGAAAAAAGGCATGTGCCATGGTGAGCTTCTCTACCTTGTCTCGAAGGGAAAAGGTCCCGTGAGCCCCGGCTGGAAGGAAGTGGTTCTGCAACCTCAGCTTACCCAGGTTGGCCACAATCACTCGAGGTGACTGCGAGCTCTCAGGTATGACAATAACTGGGGCTCCAGCTTCAATATCCAGAAGGATCCTGGACGCTCTTTGAGGGTGATCACAGACCTGGAGGCAAAGGCAAGAAAAGCACTAATATAAAAAACTGATTTATAGGTATTTTGGTTGACAATTTTCCTCTCATCTACAATTGATTATTGAGAGATTTAAACGTCATTTTCTCAACTTCAAAGTGGATAAATTACCCTGTAAACCCGATACTTGGCCTCGTCCACAAGGGAACATTGATTTTCCCCTCGTAAACAGAGCACTGTTTTCAGTAATGTTTTCATCCACACAGGGACAAAAAAAATACTTTTTGAGTCATTACCAATCTAATTACTTTAAGCAAAAAAAAAAAAAACAAACAAACATAGAAAGCAGTTTCTTAAAATGATAGGGGTAGTCGGGCTGAATACACACACACACACACACACACACACATATATATATATATATATATATATATATATATATATATATATATAAATATAGACATGCGCATTCCGTTGGTGGGGTCCAGTTCTCACAGTGGTCCCGTTCGCTGCTGTGTTTTCGGTCTTAGGAATCGCAGGTCAAACTCTAAATTTGAGACTGCTGGTTTGGGCTCTGCGGTCATCTTCTCAAGCCGTGGGTCCTGCATAGATGGTCATGCTAGCCAGGTCCCTGGCTGATAAAACTCTCATTGTAAAAGACCTTTTCTGTTCCAGCGTCTTGGACTTTATGTGACGGAGACCTGGCTATGAGCTGGTGAGTTCAGTGTCTTTTCAGAAATGTTGCCTTTGGATTGCTCTTTTTTTAATGCTCCAAGGACATCTGGTAGAGGTGGAGGAGTACTGACTATTTTTAAGAAACATTTGAACTGCAGACAGCTAGGGGAGTGGTGGCGCAGGGGTTAGAAAAGGTAGGCCTGTGATCGGAAGATCGCCGGTTCAAGCCCCGGTACCGACAACATCAAAAATGCGGGTGGGGTAGGTGAAGCACCCACACCTGCCCCCACCCTCATTCGTCCCACTCTGGGCTCTTGAGCAAGGCCCTTAACCCCCACCATCTGCTCCTCCGGGTGTCCTAGATAGCAGCTCTCTGCTCCTCACAGAGGGCTGTGGTAGCTCAGTGGTTCGTGGTTGTGTCAGGAAGGGCATCTGGCGTAAAAGTAACTGCCAAGTCTTTGTGCGACTTAGTTCGCTGTGGCGACCCCTAACGCAGGGAGCAGCCGAAAGAAGAAAATAAATAAATAAATTGAACTGCAGACAGCTCCAATCACCAGCTCTTTTTTTCCAGCTTTGGACTGCTTCTCTTTGAGCTGGTTTGCTCCCAGCCAGTGCTGTGGATTTTGACATGGCAACCCAATTTTCAAAAAGGACCTTTCTTACTAAAATTCTTATTCCTACAACTGGTAGTTTCTAACTCCACACTCTAGTTTTGACTTGAATTGGATAAGAAGAGAAATGTATTTGACTACAGAATAGAATTTATATGCTATGGTTAACAAGACAGTTGTCAACTTGACAAAAGAAATCTTGTGACCTTATAATGTTGCAAGATCTCTCTAACTACCTTCCATTTGATTGTACTGAAAATAAGTGCAAATATGATAACACTCACAGCCTGACCCTCCATTGCAGCCCTCTGCCTGCCGAGGACATCCTGCAGCTGTGTGAAGTGCTGCATAAAGGCAACCACCTCTGCTTGGAAGCGCTGGGTATGCACATACACTACTGAGGCCATCTGCAGACACACTCTGATGTCAAATTCTCTCTCCAGGTTGGGATCAGGCCGACAGTACCTTAATGAGACACAAAACACAGAAGAAATATCACGGTCTCATTTACTGTGTAGGATGATTGTGTGCTGGACAATGTGAGAGCTGTACTTCAGAATGTCGAAGACAAGTGCCTCCCCGCCCTGTGTGGTGAAGCGTTGTCTGTACAGGTCACCGTATGGCGTCAAGTCACTCAGAGACAAATTCCCTAAATTTCCATGAATCTTCATGTCACCATCTGTAAAAACAGCCACGAGGCAATATTATTGTGTGTACCGTTTTATTTAATGGAAGGTAATGTCTTTATTCTTACATACCAATCATTTCCAGCTGAGCAGACAGTTTGGACACACTAGCTCTGGCAAGCTCATTCAATTTCTTGTTGAGAACAAGTGACAAAGAATGAACCTATAAAAAGCAAAACGCATCCAAATTAAAAAACACAGGCGATATGCCAATGGGTAGCGACAGTGTGACCTGAAAGTGCATGATTGGGAGGAACAGCCTCTCTGATCTGAACCTGAGCAGTGTTCTGCCATTGGACTTGTGTGATAGTCTCGGTGTGTCCATCACAAACACCATGTTCAAACATAAGGGTGTCCATAACTGCACATGACACTAGGACACCCTAGAGATGAGCTGAGTTGTAAACTGATCACCACCTAGTAGTGAGTTGGATTAAATGGTGAAGGAAAATGCCTGACAGATCTGTTAGACCCAAATGTGTAATGAGTGTTTGGGAATGACTGGCAGAAGAACTTGTCAGAGAGCTTTTCAACACACACCTCAGGGAGAACTTTAACCGCATTGCCGATATGGGCGGTCAAAATGAGTTTTCTCTGCAGGGTAGCTGGACTCTACTTCAGAGATAGAGTGAGAAGTTCAGCTATCCAGGAGATACTCAGAGTAGAGCCAGTGCTCCTCCATATCTAGAGGAGCCAGTTGAGGTCATTCAGACATCTGGTAAGGATAACTGCTGAACATCTCCCTAGGGAAGGTTTCTGAGCATGTCTAACTGGGAGGAGACCCCCGGGAAGACCAAGGACATGATGGAAAGACTGTCTCTTGGCCGACCTGAGAACGCCTTGGAATCCTCCTAGAAGAGATGGAAGAGGTGACTGTGGAAAGAGATGTCTGAACCTCCCTGTAAAGATGCTGCACCTGAGACTTAACTCCAGAATATGCAAACATAATGGATGGATAAATGGAGCAAGTGGTACACCAATGTCCCTCGTCTCTGATGGATTTGAATAGGGAATGTTTGTAGTTTTGGAGATTACTTTTATTTTGGTCTGAAACTTAACAGAAAATCCAAGTAAACTTCGATGTTTTTGGTGAAAAATATTCAAGCAGGTAGGTGTTACACTGAAGAAGAACAATGTTTTCTTGTAATCTGAGGCAGCACAGAATGACAGACCACTGTCAGGTGCAGTGGTGGAGCCAGTGGGTGGCAAATGGCGTAAAAATTATAAGCTATAGTTTAAGGCAATGTTAAAAACTAGAAAGCATTGTTTCCTCAAATAATAGAGGTGGTTGATTTATAATGTACTGTATATACTGTAGTGAACTTGTATATATACAGGTCCTTCTCAAAAAATTAGCATATTGTGATAAAGATCATTATTTTCCATAATGTAATGATAAAAATGAAACTTTCATATATTTCAGATTCATTGCACACCAACTGAAATATTTCAGGTCTTTAATTGTTTTAATACTGATAATTATGGCATACAGCTCATGAAAACCCAAAATGCCTGTCCCAAAAAATTAGCATGTCATGAAAATGTTGTCTAAACAAGCTATTAACCTAACCATCTGAATCAACGACGTAACTCTAAACACCTGCAAAAGATTCCTGAGGCTTTTAAAAACTCCCAGCCTTGTTCATTACTCAAAACCGCAATCATGGGTAAGACTGCCGACCTGACTGCTGTCCAGAAGGCCATCATTGACACCCTCAAGCAAGAGGGTAAGACACAGAAAGAAATTGCTGAACGAATAGGCTGTTCCCAGAGTGCTGTATCAAGGCACCTCAGTGGGAAGTCTGTGGGAAGGGAAAAGTGTGGCAGAAAACGCTGCACAACGACAAGAGGTGACCGGACCCTGAGGAGGATTGTGGAGAAGGGCCGATTCCAGACCGTGGGGGACCTGCAGAAGCAGTGGACTGAGTCTGGAGTAGAAACATCCAGAGCCATCGTGCACAGGCGTGTGCAGGAAATGGGCTACAGGTGCCACATTCCCCAGGTCAAGCCACTTTTGAACCAGAAACAGCGGCAGAATTGCCTGACCTGGGCTACAGAGAAGCAGCACTGGACGGTTGCTCAGTGGTCCAAAGTGCTTTTTTCGGATGAAAGCAAATTTTGCTTGTCATTCGGAAATCAAGGTGCCAGAGTCTGGAGGAAGACTGGGGAGAAGGAAATGCCAAAATGCCAGAAGTCCAGTGTGAAGCACCCACAGTCAGTGATGGTCTGGGGTGCCATGTAAGCTGCTGGTGTTGGTCCACTGTGTTTTATCAAGGGCAGGGTCAATGCAGCTAGCTATCAGGAGATTTTGGAACACTTCATGCTTCCATCTGCTGAAAAGCTTTATGGAGATGAAGATTTCATTTTTCAGCACGAGCTGGCACCTGCTCACAGTGCCAAAACCACTGGTAAATGGTTTACTGACCATGGTATTACTGTGCTCAATTGGCCTGCCAACTCTCCTGACCTGAACCCCATAGAGAACCTGTGGGATATTGTGAAGAGAAAGTTGAGAGACGCAAGACCCAACACTCTGGATGAGCTTAAGGCCGCTATCGAAGCATCCTGGGCCTTCATAACACCTCAGCAGTGCCACAGGCTGATTGCCTCCATGCCACGCCGCATTGAAGCAGTCATTCATGCAAAAGGATTCCCGACCAAGTATTGAGTGCATAACTGAACATGATTATTTGAAGGTTGGTGTTTTTTGTATTAAAAACGCTTGTCTTTCATTGGTGGGATGAAATATGCTAATTTTTTGGGACAGGCATTTTGGGTTTTCATGAGCTGTATGCCATAATCATCAGTATTAAAACAATTAAAGACCTGAAATATTTCAGTTGGTGTGCAATGAATCTGAAATATATGAAAGTTTAATTTTTATCATTACATTATGGAAAATAATGACCTTTATCACAATATGCTAATTTTTTGAGAAGGAACTGTGTATATATATATATATATATATATATATATATATATATATATTTTTTTTTTTTTTTTTTTTTTTTTTTTTTTTTGACAGCGATCATCTTGGAATTTGATATGGCAACCTGATTTTTTTACAGTGACCTTTCTTACATCTAGATGTAGCCACACATCAAAATGGAATGCCATACCTCACTTATTTTTCGGGTTAACATGCTCACAACATGTACAGTGAGATGGATGAGCAGATAGAACAACTGAGGATATTTCCAAGTCCTCCTCATTGCTCCGCAACAGAAGACAAAAACAGAAGGAATATCCTACCAATTTCACTTCATATCTTGACATCCAGCCATTTCACTGCACACACCGTCGTGTGACGTACCTTTAAGTCCAACATCGTGTTGACAGGTTGAGATGCTTGCTCCTCCCTGGCTTCTGGCTCATGCAGAGAATGTACTGGCACAGGCTGGGCTGAATGATCCTGCACCTTTACTGCATGATTATTGGCAGTAGAGCCAATTCCAAAGAAGTCCAGAATGACCACCCAGGTCTGAAGTGTGATCAGAACATCTAGACAGTTAAAATCTACATCAACACTTCGTCCTATGCCACCATAGCGTGTTTTAAACTCGGGATGATTCGGGTCAACAAGAAGCAGATTTATATGAACTAATGACTCATCAAAGCCTGGGGGTGGCTGAAGAGAAGTATCTTGAGGAGTAGGGGAAGGGGGTGGTGTGCTAGGACAGTCTGGATCATTTGTATATTTGCGACTGGAAGATGAAGGCGTGCTTGGATGTCTTTGGTAGAGCTGAAAGACATTCTTGGCCTCCTCCATGTGGGCAGGCAATGAACGGGGCATGTCTGGGTAAAGAGCATTAGATGTTGATGGACAGCTTTGGGAAAGGTACTCCTTTGGATTAAAGGTGGAGGACTTGGGAGCTCCGTGAGACACAATCAAATGCTTGTATTTAGACTCGGGGTTCTGCTCCAAGAGATCTTCCATTAGTAGGGCATGTAGAGCCAACTGTATCTCAAGTAAATGCGGGTGATCTTTGGTAAAATATCCCTCCAAATCTTGGAAGCGTACACTGACTAAACCCTGAGAGCCCTGGGTTAGGTCAGCATTCAGCTGGATTTGCAACTCCGGTATGTGTAAGATAACCTTAAGCTGAGTGAACGGCAGAGCGTGAAGAGCAGGTTCATCGACTACACAAGATGGGGTGGTGATATTGGGAGCTTCCCTTGCAAACAATCCTTGGAGGTCTGGAGAGTAGTGAGGTCTAATAGATGAAGGCGTTGGTGGAGGAGGAGGTGGCTGGCTCAACGAGACGTTTCCCGCCTCGATCAGAGATAAATTTTCCAGAGTTTGGAGAACCTGCTCATACACGGATTTGCAGAGAAACACCTGTCACACAAATATTCAAATGCAAATTGTTAATAAAAAAACAGGAAATTATCAACAAACAATAACAGAAAGCATTACACGATCAGCTGTATTAATTGATTCTGTCAGAATTAAAACTGCTCAAGATGAAGGCGGATGAAGTATTATGTAACACAGGGATTTAAAAAATGAATGTTTTTAATTTGGAAATGAATGTTTTTCTGGACAGGAATTGAACAGGGAATGTAGTAGCCACTGTTTTTGGTGAAAGATATTCAAGTGGGTAGGAGTTGCACTGTGGAGAAGAACAGAAGTTTATTTTGTTGTTGTTGTTTGGGGGGGTTCTGAAACGGCACAGAGTGACGGATCCTGGTAAGTGGAGGGAACAATTTTATCCACCACCACCAGGATGTAATGAAGGAGCTAGGGGTGGCCAGTGGTGCCCTTGACCACCATAGATTAATCTTTGGCCACCCCAGTCATTTGGGGAAACTATACTTTTAAGTAATATAAAATCTAGAAAGCATAGTTTCTTCAAATGAATGGGGTGGCTGGTTTACAAGATAAATATGTGGTGGTGGCCATCTTGGATTTCAACAAGGCAACACAATTATTGATAGGGTTCATTGTCACTGCTAGATGAAGCAACACACCAAAATGGAAATAGGTACCACACTTATTTTTCAAGTTATCATGCTCCTAACATGCACGGACAGCTGAAGGGTATTTCCAATTTCCTCTTTTCTCTCCGTGACGGGGAACAATAAAAGTAGAGAACAAGGCTTTAATTTCTCATGTTGTTTACCGGTAATTCCTTTTCTGTTTTCTTCCATTGTCACATTATTTTGAACCTTGGTTAAAGTGCTTTTCCCTGAATATTTAGGTGAAAAATGGAAAATGACCGTCTCAGTATACACTCATCAAAGCTGATCAGTACATGTGCCATATCCTTTGACTGACGCTGTATATGTAATTGCATGTAGTTTTCAGTGTTTTTTGGTGTGAAAAGATAAAGTGAGCTGACATGCCTACCTGAACAGGAGTGACAAACTTGCTCTCAACTTTCAGTTGCCCAGTGTTCTTATAGGAATCCTCTCTAGTGAGCAAGTGCAGTGGTGAATCTTCTTCAACAGATTGTTTTTTTAGGTTGAACTGTACAGTAGTGTCTTTAAGAATGTGGAAAGCTGATGGAAAAAAAAACACTGTGAATACAGAATGTTTTAAATAGACCAGCATTGATTAGTGATGTTCTCACCTTTACCCCGGTTGAGAGATTCAAAAAAGTCATGACGTGTGAACTGTGCTTCTTCCTGACTGAAGCTTCCATTGCGAGAAGACGACGAACCATCATTGATGGTCCCTTTGTGTACACTCTTCAAAACTAAATGACACATGTTGAGTGAATATAGCCTTATATCTTTCACCAACACTTGCAGCCTCTCTCCTTCAGGGTCTTGGCTATTGAGGAAGTTCTGTATTGTTATGCTTCCTAGATGACCAACCAGCAGCTCAGGGTGTCCAGGTTTACGGGGAATGGACACAACTGGTGATTCAATGTTGACATTCAGGGTCAACGTTACCAAAAATGTATCTAAAGTAGATTCAGGTTCCTGAGTGAGAAGACACTCCTCATCCTCAAATGAATATGCAAAACTCTGAGTCAAAATTCCTGTTCTTCGTGAGGGATTTTCAAAGAGTGAAACCATGTTGCTGTACTCTGCCGTTTTGGTGGCTAGAACAGTTGACACTTTGGTGGCAGCATTTTTTAGCATGGAGCGAAAGTTGTCTTCCAGTTCATTGGCTGAAAGACTGAGCTCCCTCAGAAACTTGGCTGAGTGGTTGTAGTGTAAAGAGGCCATGTCAAGTTGCAAGAAACACTCCCCTTGAGATTTCTCCGTGAGTTTAAAGTTCAAAGCGTCTGTAGAAGAACGTTTTGTATCAGTGAAAAACGGCATTCCCTCAAGGTTTGAAGAGTCATCATCAACACTCCCAATGCTCACAACAAACTGGCTCCGGCCTCCCTCCTGTGTCAGATCAACTAGATGCATGGATCCAAGTGAGCCACTGATATCCAAACGGCTTCCAAGAGAAACATTGACCTTGGTACTAGTGATGCCAGCAGTGGCAATCTTCAGTCCTTTTTTCTCAGTGCCCAAGGCAGTGCTAGTGGACACAGTTCGAAGGAGAAGCAGGTTGAGACGGTGAATCTCCACAGTTAGTTCCTTGTTCTGGACATAGGTGGCCTGATATGCCCTGTCCCCATCCTTGTTGTAAGACTGTGTCGTGCATTGTTGAGCTGATGATGTCCAAGTGTTTTCCATTTTGGGGAAAGATTTCTGAAAGAACTTAACTAGCTCCACCATTGTCTCAGGGTTGAGGATGATGTCTAAGCTGTTGACTTGCAAGCTTATAACCTGAAGGGAACTATCTAGGTTCATACTGGGACAGTTGGAGTTCACAAACTGGTACTCAAGCTTGATGAGGGCTTCTTCATCTTTAAGAATGGACTTGACTAACGGCATGCTGCCTGTGGATGAACTGGTGGATAACTCTGTATGGGGTTTCTGGTGTTCAGGGGACCTGCCATCACACAATATGGGAGAAGATGGCTGGCTTTCTTTGAGGCTGCCAGTGGGTATGTCAAAACTTAGATGCTTATGAGAAGCAACAAGCAGGTCAAAGTCTGAGCCATATGTCTGTAAAGTGTCAACTAGGAGAAGGCCATGAACGGTCAGAGAAACTTCAGCATCATAAGGTCGCTTGACAAAATTAGCATTTGTGCCAAACACCTTGAGAACAGATATGTAGCGGCCATCACTTTCTACACCAAGCTGCATATAATTAATATTAAATTCAGCTAAGAGAAGAAGTGATTCCACAAGAACTTCACGTGTGTGTTGTTCTAATGTCATCACGCTCTGGGTCAGATTCTTGGCTGAATCTTGCAGCTTCCAGGAGCTGTCCACTCTGTGAAAAATCTTGTCATGGCGGAGCGAAAGAGGATCAGGGGATGTTACATTTGAACAATTCTTTGGCATTGTGTCCCCTTCACTTATGTCTGGACTGCTTAGCCTGGCAAGACAACTTCTAAGGGCGGTCATCTTTTCAAGGTTCACATGGATCTTGAGATCTGGCAGAATTCCTGACAGCACAGCCCCAGGTAACTGAGGGTCTGACGTGTAACGCAGTCTCTGCTCAAGCTGCAGTAGCACATTGAACTTTTCCACTACATGGGTAGGACCCACTTCACTTTCCTGAAGATGTTTCCAGTTGTCCTTATAATGACCAACCATTATTTGTAGATCATTAAAGGACAGAGAGTATTTCTCATACAGCTTTTTGCTATAAGTTTGAGTTCCCTCTGGAAACGTAAGGCTGGGAAGATCAGGGCTTTTAGCTTGTGCTTTCAAAGATGTTTCATGTTCAGGTGTTGGAGACTCAGGTGGTGTGCCAAGAGGAGTCTTGTACTCATCGTCACTCATGTCCTCCTCTTCAGGTTGAGTAGCTTTTGAGTTGATTTTACAGTCCCCTAAAAAAAAAAAAAATGTTGCAGCGGGTGTAAAATGAGATAAATCTCAGCAGAAAAAAAGAAAGAAATTGGAATATATTTTTTAAGGTAGAAGAGATGAACCCTTGGAAGATGTTATGAGGCAAAATCAGCCACACATTTATTTTTGTCCATGTTTTTAATTGATTAATTTATTTTGGTGCAGTCAAATTTTTTTTCAAACAAAATCCTAAAAATCCTTCTACTTTTTTTTTCCTCAGAATTTTTTTAAATGCTCTCATAACCTCATAGTAACTTTACTACACTCAAGTTCCTGAGGGGGAAATATCATCCACATTATAATACACAGTAAATAAAACTCTTAATCCCATATTTATCATATAATTTTTAAATAATGAATTCCTTTCAGTACTGTATTAATGTTTAGCATGACCTCTATCCTATACTTTTATATGTTGGTTCACTAGGTGGTGCTGTGCTTTTATATTTATGAGTCTCTGTAAAAGCAATTCACTCTAGAAGCAGAACCTTCTATTAATCAAGGTTCTTTGTTGTCATTGGCATCACATGTGGTACATGAGGTGGAACGAACTTGTTTACTCAAGGTCCCAATTACACCCAAAAAATGCAACAAAAAAAAAAGCCAGATGTCATTGCAGTGTCACGCTTCTCATCATGTCCAACAAAATTATTTTAGTTTGGATGTCAAAAGCAAAAACTTACTTGTAATGTACGCAAGAAAAACATTTAGTCCTAAAAATCTATTTATGCATGCAGGCTGTAGAATCGGATGACAGCGGCTGACTGCTGTTTATCCCAAGGCAAATTGGGATAGCACAGCATCCCAAGGCATTCCTTAGCAGGTGATATCCAGGTCAGTACAAGGGAAAAATAAATAAAAATTTTAGAAACAGACATTTCTACCAAGGGTAAAGTTAAAAAAATAAAAGAAAAAAATTATTTTAAAAAATTATTAAAAAACTCCATGACAACCATCAAGAGACAGGAGTAAGTATGACTCAAAACAAGGCGTCAGTTTCAGATCTGAAGGGTCCAGTGGGCTGGGGATTCATCACAAAGCTTAGGACAGGAACTTGGAAAAAATGTCAAAAAATAATTTGGGGCGTACTAATACGGGAAAATGCCTTTTCTTCAAATAAATGCTATAAAATGAATATTTTGTGGATTTTTAAACAAAAGACCCTAAAAGAGTTTGTTTTATATACTTTTACTTCAGGCTGAGATAGCTCTAAAATACAAACTAGTTTATTGTGGAAAAATATTTTAAAAATGGTACTTTTAATTAAGCAGATAAATAAGGTGGTAGATTTTTCCCCTAAGGAACATTAACTGTTATAAAGTTAAAGGGACTTCCAGGGGTTGAATGAATGATTGCTTTACCTTGAGAGTTTGTCAGAAGAATTCTGCCTAAATCCACCACAACCAGCATTGGGTCCTTTGATTGGAAGTCATCTGGGAAAATAACTTGAGGTGCACAAATGTCCAGTTTCATAGTCCAGCGCTTACTGTTTTCCTACAAAGAACATAGGTGTTATTTACACATTTTAACCATAAAATAGATCAAATTTTGTGTAGAGGTTGACCCAGATAAGATTTTCTATGGTCAATGATGACTTTTAGAAAACATAGCAATTAATTGTCAAAATACAAGTTTTGTTGTTATTGCTGGTGAACACTTTTTTTAATTTACCAAAAATACTTTTGCTTAACTTAAATAAAAATATAATTACCACACATTAGAAAAAATTGAACATACAAAATTGTATACATGGAAGCATTTTGGTTTAGAAAATAATATTTGGGCTAATTTTGTTATAATTGCTAATTATGACTAATTATTATACTAATTTTAACTTTAATTACCACATTAATAATTTTGTTTACATTAATTTTGTTACACTTCTGCAAATCTTACAATAAACTCGCCCACAAGTAGCTGATCAATAGTTTGTCGAATTTCAGCCTTGGTCTGCAGCTTCAGCTTGGTGTATTGCCTCCTGGCAGCCTCTGCCACTCTCACCTCCAGCTCCGACTGATAGCCAAACCCTACACACACACACACACAAATCAATTTTTTTTTAAATACAACAACCTAATAAAACTTTAAATATATGTAAGAGATATATCTAAAATCAAAGTACTCCAACTAGTCTTAAATAATGAGAAGAATTGGAAATAAAATTGCTTCTTTGTAACTAAATATCACATACACTCATTTATATATTCAGGTCTCTCTTGTAAATGAGTCCCCGAGGCTCAATGGGATTAACCTGTATAAATAAAAGTTGAATGAAGTAGGAATAGTTGTACAAGTAGTAGTTTATTTTATTATGATCTATATATAGATATGTAGATAGGTAGGTGTGTAGGTAGGTTTGTAGGTGTGTAGGTAGGTAGATGTGTGTGTGTGTGTAGGTAGGTAGGTAGGTAGATTTATATTTTGTATACCTATATATCATTACAGTACTGAATTATTTGAGCATTTAGCCAATAGAAATAATTTTGGAAATCCTAGCTGTCCTAAATCAGGACAGGTTCAGTCTAATTTAATGTCAGAAAGTGAGATTTTTTTTTTGTCTTTTTATAGTGTATGTAAACATTTATCAGGTGTATGCGTGTCTGAAGTGGATGGTGATTGTATCTTACCTGACGTGTGAACTCTTCCTTTATAGAAGAAATCTGTTATTTTCTTTATTGCTTGAGGGCTGTAGATGATGTTTAATGGACTTGTGTTTACTTCAAGTCTCCTCTCAAACCTAGATCTCACAGGGTTGCGTTCGTATATCATCTCAAACACTGGCAACGGGCATTCAATGTTGCACCCTGACAAAGTTGATAACAAAAATATTGCGTATATTAGCTACTGTATCCACAAAAGATATGTACAGTATATCAAAATATTTACAGTGCTTCCTCTCCCAATCTATCATTGTTTAACTCAGCTTCCAAGAAGTGTGTCTACTAAAAGATTACTACCAACACAAGGTCAATTATGGAAAAAAATAATTTTGTAAAAATAATGAAAAAATAACATCAGTTCCTACCAGAAATACTGCTGGACTGATTCGGTGGTTGGTTAATGGCACCAAAAACACTGTCCTGCAACACGTTACATATTTTAATGGGACTCAACCATTACACATTGAAAAACAAAAAAATATATATCATTAGTAACTTTAGGGGTTATGTTAACAGGGCGAGGTTTGACATCTATCAATGCTTACCATTTTGGGAGAGACTAGAAACGGGAAGATGGTGCCCTGAGTGGTTAAGTCTCTCAGAAACAAACTGCCCAACTTAACTGAGACTAAGGATGACTCCGAACGAGGGAGAGATTCGACTATAACATTCACCCCTGGTAAAACAAGAGGACAGCAAAATTGCAATACATTAACAAAGTTTGACAAAGGATTTAGAAAATATACTACTACTACTACTATGATTACTCTTGTAACTACTATTACCACTACTACTACTACTACTAGTGCTACTACCACTACTACTAGTACTACTACTACTACGATTACTCTTGTAACTACTACTACTTTTACTTCTGTGATTAGTACTACATCTGCTATTACAGCTGCTTCAACTACCACTACTACTGCAGCTGCTACTACTACTACTTCAACTACCACTACTGCTGCTGCTACTACTTCAACTACCACTACTGCTGCTGCTACTACCAACTACTACTACTACCAACTACTACTACTACCACCAACTACTACCACCACCACCACCACCACTACTACTGCTACTGCTACTACTACTACTACTGCTACTACAGCTGCTACTACAACTACCACTACTGCCGCTCTACTACTAATAATAATAATAATACAACTTATGCTACTACTACTACTACTACTACTACTACTGCTGCTAATGCATTGGCTGAGTTACCTGATATTTCAAGCTGGATAACCTCACTCTCGTGCAGCTTGAACTCTTTCCTGTCCTGCTGACAGAGTGTCACTCTTCCTTTCTCCAGTAAGAACTCTAACCGGGCAAACATGTGGTCTCGTCTGGTGAATGTGTTTAGACTGTAAGAGTTTTCCAATGGGTCAAACAAGTCCTCCGTCTCTGCTGGAGAAGCATTTAGCAATCAGTGTCAGTGGTTACTGAATAATAAAAAACAGTTTACACAAATAATTCAAAGTTATATTTGATTTGATCAATTGACAAATAATTGAAGCTTATAAAAAGACTTAAGGATGACAAGGTAACCCTCCTGTGGCACCAGTCAACAATGAGTTCCTGACCTAGAATGTCCCAGGATGATGGACTCGGCAAAAGTTCTTCAGGTCTGGCTGGATCCTGGGAATCTCCATACCAGCCTCCCCAGCCTGGGAACCAAGACTGGAGGTACTGAAGCATCCTTGAGCTCCCACTTTTTGGAATTGATGTGCCAGATGTAATGAGTTGGGGTTCATCGTTTGGCTCTTGAAGATTCTTGAAGACGTGGGAAAAAAAAAGAAACAAGATTACCGGTAGATGGCTTTTGATATGGCAACTCAATTTTTGATAGTGACCTTTCTTTCACCTAGATGCAGGCACACACCAAAATAGAAGTTGGCACATTGCTTATTTTGCAAGTTATCATGCTCACAACATGCATGGATGGACAGCTGACTAACTGGTATTTCCAGTTCTCCCTCGTCGCTTCCATGATAGGGTACCAGAAAAGAGTATAGTGTTTCAAACCACATTTCTGTTTTAGACAGTTAATTCTCATGCAGAAAAATCTCACTACCCTCGCACAAAAGAGTTGTTAGTCTCTTTGTTTGCCTGGCTACAGAGATGCTTCAATTAAATGCATAAATAAGTAAATTAGAGGGGAAATGACTGGGTATTATTCCTAATACTACACTGTAAATTTAGGAATGCAGAAATCTGAGACCCACTGATTAAACTTGGTCTTCTGAATTGCCCTTCTCAAACTATATATCTTGTCCAAAATATGAACACTTTGGTCCTCAGAAATGTTCTCTTAAACCTAAGATGAAGGTGCACAGCTAAAGGATAATGGTATATTTGGAGTCTTTTTGGGGGAAAATAGGGTCAAAACCGCTGAAGAAGCAAATGTATAATCAAATACACTACTTAATTATGTATTATTATTATTTAAAGGTTAAATCATGCCATATGGACCAGTTTCTTTAAGGGAGAAATGTTTCGTCTTCCATCCGGAAGACTTCAACTAGTCCAGCTGACATGATTTAACCTTTTTTTGTTATCTATCTGGATGATTGAGACTACAAACCATTTATTATTATTATTTCTGCACTTGCTCTCGTGCAAGGCGGATGCCTCCTCTCCCTCTCCTGTTCTCCTCCTACATTTTTTTTTCTTTCTGTGCATCGGAGCTCCTATTACACATCTTCCGAGACAAAAATCTACTGTCATGGATCTGGTCAGCTGGACTTTCAACGCAATCTACAAAATCTTTTCAACAAAGCGACAGGGTCATGGAGAGTCCTCATGCCCCGCTGAGACTCGCGCGGCAGGATACGTCATGGATGTGGGGAGTTTGGGAGCTGATGTGTCTTTCTGTTTTGTCTCAGGAGGACGTCAAAGACGTTTATATAATTGGATTCATGATAGCAGGGTTTCTGCTTTCTGACATCTGCGGATTCCTATGTTATCAGCTATTAAGGAAGATGGCAGCAGCAGTTTCAGCAATGGCAAAACTGCTGAGTCTGTGTGAAGGTTTGGTTCATGCGTCGAGTACTCACAATCAGCTGATTTACAAGCTAAACCGTAAGAGGGAAGCGATTTGTGAGAATCATAGGCCACCTGCGGTTTCTAGGACTCGCCAGCATGTTGGAATCAACCTTGAAAGAGCCTTGTAAGCACAGACCAGTGTAATACCCACTCATCTGGATCTTGTAATACCCACTTATCTGGATCTTGAAAGTACCAGCAGGACTCAAGGCTGACAAGAAAAAAAGTTTGCCTGACGAAATTAACAATTGTGGCTTATCTGAATCTGACTCCCCCAGTTGGCCTTGAAAATAGGCTGACTTATTAAATTTCTCCTGGGATATGTGTAAACTAAAGAAAAGCTTCATCTATTGCAACAACCCCACCCCCTACCCCACCCAATCTGTGAAGACTTATCAGAACAGTGCCCACTGACCAACATCCTATCAGGACTATGGTCTACTGGAAGTGCTTCATGGACAAATCTCACCACCTTGCCATCAAATGCATATGTAACTTGTCTAGAAATGTGCTTGCTGGCAGAGTTTTTTGATGTTTTAAATTGTGTCCTGATAGGACATGGCGTGAAGTGAACTTTTTTTGTAATGCCACTATCCTATCCTCATGGATTTTCCCCTTTTCTATCTAAAAAAAAGTATTCTGAAAAAGGATAAGGGGCTACGCTCCAGTAGCAGCAGCATCGTGCACTCCGTCCATCTTTGGGACAACAGTACGAACATAATTTCACTGTATTTCGGTACAATGATAATAAAGCTTATTTTGATTCTGATTCTGATTAGCCACTTCGATAAATTAACAAACAACTTTAACAACAAAACAGCACAGTATTAAATCCATGAATGGCAGTCTACGTAAAGTTGGTAATAATTTGCACATTGATTTTACTTTTTAAATCATACAGTATTAAAATAAACAAACCTCTGCATTCTGTTCCTGCTTTAGAATCCAGTCATGGACGATCTCTCTGAGGCTGTAAAGCTCCTCTAATGTCTGCTCCTCTTCCACTCGTTCTAGTTCACTCTAGATGAAAAAGACCAGTAATAGATGTGTTTTATTTCAATTCAGTTTATGTTCATAGCACAAATTCATAACAAAAGTAATCTAAAGGGAAGTTCAATGTCTCCTTAAAGCCACAAGGCTTCCTTGATATCAGGAAACAAAGCAATAAATGGCAAGAAATCTGGATTTATACATCACAAGAAATGGTGGGGGGGGGGGGGGGGGGGCTGTTCTTGATGAGGTTGTTGCAAGAAAAAATTGTCAATTTGTTCTCCTACAGCTATGATAGCTTGTTCTTGAAACAAGATCTGGGCAAAATTTTCTTGGGGTTTGCATCAACTGTTGTGATTTTAGATAAAATTGTGAAGTGGAGATGAGAAATGAGGCCTTGCTGTTCCATGAGCTCCTTAGAAACCAGTGTGGCCAGTCATGCAACATTCTGCATGAATCCAACATTCATAAAGTTATCTCTAGTCTTCCCTGGGCAGAGGTTGGTATGCTATACGTGTATACTGTTAACGGATGGCGTGACTCTAGTCTTCATAATGACTGTCAACGTCTTGAAGTAAGATGTCCTCCTACTTCATCAACTGAAAAACTTCCATCTGTTATTGGTTTAATAAAATGAATCAAACTGATTTCTGTGCTGGGTGGGGGTTTCCTGGAGATAAAATATGGAGTATAAAATGTTCTTTTGGAAAATCATGTCTTCCTGCCATGTCAGAAAGCAGATTTCTTGACGTCTTGTGAAGTAGGAATCTAGCTGAAAGATGCAAATACCTACAAAAATACCACCTAACATTGTGATTCACATTCTCTGCTAATTAACACATCATGCAAGATCTCACAATGATGCACAAAACGTTGCAAAAGCTTTTTAGACTGTGTGACCAAAATGTTTGTAACCCTTCTAATCAAAGGATGAATTTATTCCAAAACTTTGGCATGAAATGCCAGAATACTTGTATGGACCAAAGACATCAAGGGCGAGGGGCTCATCATTGAGGCATGGTGATTTGGTACGTGATAAGGCTGCAACAACGAATCGATAAAATCGATAAAAATCAATGATTAAAAGTGTTGGCAACGAATTTCATTATCGATTCGTTGTGTCGCGCGATTATGCATCTTTCACGGCGCTGCGGACCGTTTTGTTCACGAGCAGTTCATTGTCAATGCTGACTGACTGAAGAAAGTAAAAAAAAAAACTCTGCAGCGCGAGTTGAACAGAGCAGAGGCTGTTTTCAAAGGAAAATAAGTACATTTTACAAATGACCGACGCAGAGAAAACTGTTCGACCCAAGTCCTCCAAAGTGTGGGAGCTCTTCACAAAGATAAAAAATGAGAAGAATGCCACTTTGAAAATTGACGATATGACACAGGAGAACCACGCTGATAAACGTAAACATGACGGAGTCACGAGCTGCAGCTGATACAACTCGTTTCACTCCCAACTCATGTGTTGCAGGTGAGTCTCTACAATTTAACACATTGTTCTGTTTCCAGATGAGAAAACGTAACGTCAGTCTCTCTGGTAGATGAAGCTGTTTGTTTGTTTGTTTGTTTGTTTGTTTGTTTTCTGATTAATGATGGTGATAGAGAACGTGTGTGTTACTTTTTACTTAATTTAATTGGTACAAGCAGTGTTTAAATGTGATTTATAAATAAATCTAACACAAAGATAATAATTTAATGATTAAGCTTCAACTTTTAATTTGCTGGCAAAGTCTGAAGATACTGCATGTATGGCAGGATGAATTGCATTTAAACAGGAATTAAAGTAATTTATTACATCTACTCAAATGTGTGTAATTAAGTATTTTGTATATATGTGTGTATGTGTGTGTGTTTAATTGCTCTTTTAGCTACTTTTGCCTGAACCTAACACTGTAAGTGAAACAAGGCATTTCTTGAGTTGCTGTAAATTATGCTATAATACATATTTACTCTTTACATTCAAGAAAACAACAAACAACAACAGCCTTCATGATGGACAGACATCATGGACACCACAGCAGCAGCTGTCTTCACTGAAAGATCCTGAACATGATCGTCACTGACATGAGGCCTCTGTCAATGGTTGAAGACGAAGGCTTCACTACAATAATCCACACTTTTAATCCAGGTTACAATAATCCACACTTTTAATCCAGGTTACACTCTTCCCTCAATGACACATTTTACAAAGTAGCTACATATTGTGCAGGTATAAAGATACATTTGTATATATTTTTGTGTACATTTATTTTTTTTAAGCTATTTGACTAACTTTTTTTTTTTTTCAATATTTTACTAACAGAATAGTCAAATAGCAACCTGTTTTTGTGTGAATTGCTATGTTAGTCAAGTGTCCAATTTTGGAATAAAGGTGTAGAAATTAAAACTTTATTTTTTCCTGATTCATCGATTAATCGAAAAAATAATCGGCCGATTAATCAATTTTTGAAATAACCGTTAGTTGCAGCCCTAGTACGTGACCCACATGGTACCGTGTGGTACAGTCGGACTCGGCCTGAATGAGTAAGATGAGCTTGCCTTTCTGACGACCCACCGCCTGTGAGAGGGGCTTTGAGTCAACTGCATGGTGCCATGGGAACTCAAAGTGAGGGCCTTGGGGCTCTGAACGTGACTTAACGAAGCTAATTGTTGGAACATAAGGCGCTCTGCCACTGTCTCAACTCTCATCGGCTCTGCACGACACAGAACCAGCCGGCACTGTCGGTATCCACCCCACTCTGCACAGTTTGGGGACCACCTTGTTAGAGGTTCCAGGTGAGCTGCTCCCAGGGGTTGATTTTCAAGTAAGCAGACAACAGCCGTTGATTGGCCAGTGGAGCTACGTCACCCCCCCCCCCCACCCACACACACACACACACACACTTTGCATTGATGGGGAAACAGGTATCACCTATACCCGAGAAGAACTGAGAAGAGAGCCAAGTGGAGCTGCATCTACCAATGGCAAAGCAGCACTAAATTTTCACATTTCAGGTGGGGAGGGAGTCTGAACTTGTACATCAGGTTGAGAGGTACTGGTTAAAAATAGTCAGGCACACACACCCATAGCATGGGCTCTGGAACCAATCTCCTTGAGAGAGGTTGGACCTTATTCTACTCTAGAGTTGCCCGAGAGGTGCTGAGCTGTTGTGGGTTCTCTCAGTTGGCCTGGGTACACCTTGGAATCCTCCCAGAAGAGCTGGAAGCAGTGCCTGTGGAAAAAGATGTTTGAACCTCCTTACTCAGGCTGCTGCCACCGTGACCCGACTTCGGAACAAGTAGAAGGTAATGGATGGATGGATATTTATGAAATTAGATGTTGGTTGTGAACTAGTGCTATACAAACAAAACTGAGTTTAATTAAATTTCTTTAAAATGTATACTGTTAAATAAAAATATCACAAACGTGTGTGTTTATAAAACACTACCTTTTATTGTTGATAAATTGAATATCAAATTACTATAATAATTATATGCATTGTGCATATTAATGCATTGTATATGCTTCTTGTATGTGTGAGACACAAAGTACCTTCTCCTGAGGACTCAACAGAATTCCTTTGAGCCTTTTGAAATAAAGGCTTGTGTAAGTCTGTGCGTCTCTGCACCGCTGCAAAGCAAAGCTCCAGCTGCTTCTTTTTCGCTGTTCCCTTATTTCTTTCAGGTTAGCCTGAATGGCAAACATCCACCACGTCCGGCAGCTAATGTAGAAACAATGTTAGGAAACCAAATGTCACTTAGTGAGTACACAAGCAGCAAAATGCACAGTGATCTTTTAAAAACCAACAATTAGGACTTTGACTAATGAGTGATTTTACGTTACCTTGACATAATCTGATCTTTCTATTAATGTATAATGTTTTATTTGTCAGTTTGTTCTCTGACAAAAGAAATTAATCTGAGGTGTTACTTACTTCTCAGAAATTGGTACTTTGGGTCTCAACTTTCTGTACAACATCCCTTTCTCCTTGCGATCCAATTCTTTAAGAAAAGCCATCATCTGCTGGTACTGAACCTGAAAAAAATGGAAATATTAAATGTGAAATCATTCTAAAAATCTTTACTAATACAACTGCTGCTAGGGAAGGAAAATCAGTTTTTATTCAAGCATTATTGTTACTGAAATTATTAGTGATGGAGAACACCAGACAGACAACATATAAACAACTGACAATCACACATTAAGTTGTGCAGACAATGTGAAATTATAACAAAGAGCTGGGACAGGTTTCATGGTACAAGAGAGTAACAACAGAGATTGAGGAGGAAATTGCTAAAAGCATGTGCAGCAATTATCAAGTGATGTTTTAACTGAGTTTTTAAACAATGCAAATGGGACAAAAGAAGCAAGTTTTAGAGTTTGTTGTAGATGGTTCCACTCATTAGCAGAAGCTATTAAAAAGATGAAAGATCAAATGAGATGTGTGCTTTAGGGATAAATAAGGTAACATAGCTGCTGGAGCAGAGGGTATGCATGTTGCTATGTATGAGTACCGGTAATGAACGGAGGTAGGATGGGGGTTTACCAGTTAGGGTTTTATAGATCAGCGGAAACTATTTTGTTTGTGAGTGGGAGTGAAGAGAGGGCCAGTTCATCAGGAAATACAGAGTGCAGTGAAGAGTGCTGAAGGGAGCTCCGGTGGCAAATCTAATGGCTAAGTGATAAAGGGTGTCCAGTTTGTGGAGGAGAGTTTTGGAAGCGGTTTTGTAGACAAAATCACCATAAGTGAGCATTGGAAGGATTGTCATTTTTACCGATGTTTAGCAGGCTGTTAGTGAGGATTTGTTTTGGAAGAGGAACCCTATTCTGGATTTCATGAATTAAAGAATGGAGCCAAATCACAAGGTATTTGTAGCTGCTAGCAAACTGGATCTCGGAGCCATCCAAAGAGAGGATTTTCTGAGGGAGGTTTCTGTTAAAGATCATGCATTTTATTTTCAGAGTTCAGTTTTAAATGAAGGTAAGAAAAAACATGATCAGTGTTACTGAAACAAATTTGTAGTGCAGAGAGAACAGAGTTAAGCAAGGTACTGGTGGTATACATAATAGTGTCATTGGCGTACAGATGTGTGTGAAAAAGACAGATGTTCACAGAATTTGTTACATTATTGATGTGTATGCTGAAAAGGTTTGCACCAAGTATTGAGCCTTGGGGAACACCTTTGCCGAAGAGTAGCGGGTCTGACAGGTGACTCTCTGCACTCACTAATCTAATTAGCAGCTTAAGTCAGCATTGTCACCTACTTTGAACATTGGGGTGACCGCAGCGGATTTCCATTTCTGGGGGGCACACTCTGTTTTGCAGCAATAGGTTTAACAAGTCACAGATGTGAGGTGCGATGACGTGAGTGTAGTGAGTCACGTGAGGTACGTGTCACTTGTTGTATGACAAATATATGAATTATATATGCATACAATATTCACGAGTTCTTCATTTTTCTGACTGTAAATGTCGTGCATTGAATTTAACAGAAATGTAACGAGAGACGTTGTTTATCTTTGACCCATCAAATGAATGGAATCATTTATTTTCAGAATCAAAGTTTAACATCAAACATTTACATTAATTTGGCAAAATATGAAAATAATAACAGACAGTTTCACAGAAAATGAACTTCAAATCACTCGGCAGTGATTTGAGGACTTTGCTTAAGATATTTCTAAAATATCTGTACTGATTTATGAGAGAGAGGTGGGTTTTAGAGTGAAAGGAGATTATCTTACAGAGAACTGTGTGAGGGAAGTTTAATCTGTTTAACCAGAAATTGCACGCTCCGTCAGATCCTCAGCCCGTCCACGGTACACTTTAGTCGAAGAAGAAGCCTTTACCTGGTTTGACGATAGATCAGCTCAGTAAGCATCCTTCAGACTGTTTCCAGCGCCTCCGTTAAGCACAGCTAAAAATCCTCGGAGAGTCGTGCGTGGTTAGCTCAAAACAGACTTATAATCCCAAACGTCCCTGGTTCTTCATAACTCCAAACTCTTCATAACCGGTTGCATCTCTCAGAACTCTCATTCTCTTGTCAGCTCTCATTCTAACTTGAACTGGGCAGTTGTCACATTTTAAATGAGTTTACTTCCTGTTCAGTTTAGAGCTTTCTGATTCGTGGAAGGACCAGAAAGAGGTGTGTTTTTGACGTAAGGTGTTTATCAACAGTCGAGGTCAGAGAATGAAACTTGTTTAACATACAGAAAAGATTATTGCAGAAGCGGCAGACTTTCTGGAGTCTACTCTTGGTAATCTTCTGAAAAAGTTTAAACATGACATTTCTTCTTCAGTAAACATTTTAGTTGACCGAAGACCAACCTTTCACATACTTACGACAGCTTGCTCATTTCAGACAGAAAATCAAGAAAGGCATATTCAGGTGATTTCTTCTCTGAATGAGGAACAAAAATCATTACTTACTGTTTATGTAAAAGCAAAATTAGTAGTTCTTTTCAACCTGTAAAGCATTGAGTGAACTAACACAATTTGATTATCAAAACATTTGTAAGACAGTAATGATTATAAAGAATTGTCTTTTCTGCTTGATTAATTCAAGAAAGAAAGTTCATCAGATGGTTCAGACTTATTCAGATCAATGAAAATAACAGTCTCTGTCCATCTGGTATATTTGAGGTCATCTGGTTCACTACAGTCCCCCCTTTGGAAATCATCACCTGTCCATGGGGATGAATTCCAACCGTGAACTTAGACCTTCAAATGTCCTTGAGCTTGATATAATCCAGCAAGGAAGACCAAAGTCAGAAGTAATCCTTCAAGGAAGACCAAAGTCAGAAGTAATCCAGCAAGGAAACAAAGTCAAGGTAATTCCACAATGTTCTTGGTATTCCATTGTGTTGATTATAATCCCATATCGTCTCGATAATCCCATTGTAGCAATGCTTTAACCCCTTGGAAACAGAGTCTGTAATCCATTGAAAAGTCATATAATCCACAACGGTAAATCCACAGCGATTGGAAGTGTTGATTAATCAGCATACAGAGGGGTACCCTTGGATTGAACTGAAGAAGCGGCCACTGGATGAAGAGTTGAGACCAACGTCAGGATCGCAGATCGCCTCCAGCGAAGGTTGTCTCCAGCGACGTCCAGCCTGTGCCGTTCTGGTTCAATGTGTCATGCAATTATGTGGTTTAAGGTGGGCTTATGAAGGGGATTTTACATAAGGTCTTAAACTATATGCACCTGGTGTGTAAGCTATTATGGTTGGGAACAGCTACAACTACCAGTTAAGGGGTGGAGAATGCTGAAAAAGGGGTACTACAGGGGTTTATGCCTATAGAAAAGTGTTCCAAACTATTTTTCCATTTCTAACTTGGTTTAAGTTAGCTTTACATGGTAAAATATAGTTTGGTGTAATTGTCTGTTGTCTTTTAGACGAACGACTTGAGATTGGGTGTTTGGTTTTCCCATAAATGTTTTGGAAGTCTATGGCGAGACTTATCAAAAAGAATTAGCTATCCCCCCGAATAGGATTGTTCGAGTAGGTTCGGCTTAAGCGTTGTGAGATCAATGTAGATTATGGTACTCAAAGTAGCAATAATATACATTGACTCCGCAAAGATTGCAATTTAGTGAATGAACTGCATGTTGGCATGGTTAAAGGCTTCTTAGTCTCTAACTTACTACACAACAAAATTCATTCTTACCTCAGAAACAATACCACAATCAATTAAACAACGTTCCAACACCGACAAGAGTAGTGACTAAGCATCTAGAAACATCGTTTCACTGCTTCTCCTCACCCTGGTTGCCAGATTTCAGTCACGCTGTCTCGTTTTATCAAGGGTAGGTCCTGTGAGTTTAAACTATGGTTAAGTTTATTATCCATTAGTTATCTACTGCTTGGATGACCCTTGTTCCCACGAGGTCAGATTTTGTGATGTCATTGTCTCCTAAGGAGTTATTGCACGCCTTGTGTAATTTAACCTGGTTACGGTGTACCCATTTAACAGTTGGCTCTTTTTGGCCTTTACTGATTTTTATCTGGTAGATAATTGGAGACACTTTGTCGGTTATCAGATGGGGTCCAGTCCATCTGGGCATCAGCTTACGGGCGAGAGTTCCGGTCCCGGACTCTACTCTCCCAGTTTTGGGTGCAAACGTGTAGTACCAGACCCTGTCTCCCACTTGGAGTTCCTCGTAAGAGGCCTTTTGGTCGTAGTACGCTTTGCGTCCTTCAGCTGATTTTTCCAGGTTTTTCTGTGCGAAAGCAAAAGTGTT